AAAAGTACCTTTAAAAGAATGGCAGGATAGGCAATCCGCTTTTGTTTTCAGAATTAGCAAACACTGAATTTACTTGTCCCGAATATTCGAACTGGTGGCTCCTTCTACCTGATGGTAATTTATTTTTGAAATTCCAAAACAATTTCACAGCTGAATTTTGAGGTCTGAAAAAGGCGCGAAGCGCGCGCGAGAGCTCCGCTATGAGAGAAGTAAGACTTAATCTAATTAACCCAAGGGTTTTTAAAAATAGAACGCGGTTTGCACTTGAAGATGTTGGTCTCTGCCCTTTTTACGGTTCAACCTTGAAAGAATGTAACTTGTTTACGAGGTCATTTTGCTCAATAAGATTTTAATAAATCGCCTCCTTTCGGAAAATATGTAATGAAATTATGTATCATTCAATGTTACCCTTAATTATCTCATGCCCGACATCATGGAATTTTGCGTGACATCTTAAGTTTGAAGCTGAGAGCAAAAATATTGTCATACTCTTGGCAATAAGCCAAACCATTCACACTGTGTGTGGGAGGACGATTATTTTCCAAAGGGAAAATTTAAATTATTTAGTAGTTTGTTTCACTTAGTGTACCTTGTTTTTTTCCAAAAAGTTTGTTTGTCTATTGCCGAATTGTTTGCCGTGCGTTATCTGTGGGACATATGTATGTAACGAAAATAAATGCTGTGTTGTGACACAGCGCGGGGCAGACATTCGCGTCGCTTGGCTTGTTTACGTTCGCACGTATTGCGTACCTATTGCAATTTTGAATCAAAACAAGCGAACTCGATTACTCTATTTGGGCGACGCCCGAAATAACTAGCTTCCACCAGGATCCCATAAAGCTTCCGCTCATAACCAAGAGCCAATGAAAATGCAAAAATTTATTTTGGTACTCAACTTTCATTATGAAAGGCATAGCCAATCAAAAAAATCGATTAAATCAGGAGCGATAGGCTCCTGATTAAATAGGTCTTTTGCAATAGTTGGTTACGTGATCAACGTTCTGTAAACACAAAAATAGTTTGGTCTTGGAAAATTTTGTTAGCAGGAACTGAAAGAGCGTATTAAAATTAGGTAACCTGTGTGAATTTTCAGCCGTATATCTCAAAAGAAGCGATTACAACGGCCGCCGAAAATTAGAAGGATTTGTATGAGAAAAACAACTCTTGCCACCGAGTCACGCTTGAGTGGCTTTCCATACAAATTCCATATAGAATTTGTTCCAAACATGTGAACAAAAATGATATGGCTATACTTTATGATAACTGCCGTTACTGGATTCACTATCACTATCGATGTTTGTATCACTAAACCGCAAATGCAATGGATCAACCACAAATGATTATTCTCTTTCGCAATCAAGTAATGAGGTATGGTATTGTAAAAATTGTATTGCTTCCTTATTTCCTTTTTCCTCAATTGATGATTTTGAATTGTATAGCCTTATGAACTGTGGAATGCCATCTCATCTTGAATCCCTGCCTTCGTTTAATGTGTTATCTAAAATCTCTGGTATAGCCCACCTTGATAATTCTGATATAGTATACAACTTTTCCCTGAAGGGGAGGTGAAGAGTGGTGGATAATGTATATCTAGCGCTGTTCATCGACTCTGAGGGGGATAGTTGTTTTAGTATTTACCAAATCAGTTGGATAAAAATGAAAAAAAGTAACTTTTTGTAAATTAAAAACGTCACTTAATAGGAACTTTATTTTACGATTTACAAACATTCGGGGATTTTGTCAAGTGCATTTTTACGTTTTTGTTGCAAATTTAGCATAACAATAATTTTCTACCTACCAGTAAACACCGAAAAGCCAAATTTTGTCGCTTTCTTGGTATTTATTTGTACCAATGCTTCATTTATCGCTCAAATTTCGTCTTTCAAAAATGTCTCGAATCGAGACTCCATTTTTGCTCGGGTCACGAAACAGTGAATAGCCAAGGATTTTCCGTGTTACGGGAGTCAATCAAAACGCGCGAAAGTTGCTATTCACTGATTTAGTAAATACTAGAAAATAACATACCAAATCCTATAAACTCTAAGTATTATTATCTTCATGACATTGAAAAAATAACTTTATCTTCTGATAAATCATTTTTCTCCTTGTTTTATGTCAACTTAAACAGCTTAGATGCTCATCTGGATGACTTGCGTACTACCCTTAATTTATCAGATTTCCCCTTCCAAGTCACTGGAGTCACTGAAACAAGAGAGAATGTTTCAACTGGATTTAAAATTAATAATGCCTTGCATGTTTATAATTTGTATACGTAGACCTCTACAGGGTGTCCCAAAAGTTCGTTCCTCTAATTTCATGCGCTGTAACTTTTGGTCAAAACTTTTATTTTTACATGAAATTTCTAAAATATAATTATTACTCTATCGAGTACTTGTGTTCAGAAGTTCAGTTACGGGCATGTCCTCTTTTTTTTAAATCACACCCTGTAGCCGTTGCGGCATCAAGTGAGATAAGCCATGTAGCGTGTAGAGCCCCAGATGATTCATTTTGAGCTTTTTTATCACCTAGTATGCAGGAGTCACTTCGACCCCCAAAAAATACAATTTTTAGATCAGGCAGCTGGAAAAACTGTTTGGGTTGAGATTAAGAATATTTAATCAAAAAGTATTTTGTGCTGTTGTGCCTACAGGCACCCTTCCTCTTCCCCAGAAAGATCCACTGAACATATTGAGACCATTTTGCATAACTTATCAAAAGAAAATAAGAACATGTTTATTCTTGGTGACTTTAATATTAACCTCCTGAACTGTGTGAATCATCCTGCTTCTGAAAATTTCCTGAAAATGATGAACTCTAATTTCCTGTTGCCTTATATCCTCCAACCAACTCGTGTAACAGATACAAGGCCGTAATTCACTCTCTTTACCTGTGACTTATGGTGTTCCACAAAGATCTATTCTAGGACCTCGTTTATTCTTATTATATGTAAAATGACTTGCCTAATACTTTTAGCTTGCTAAAATTTCATTTATTTGCTGATGTTACTAACCTCTATTTTTCTAGCAAGAGCCTCAGTCACTTTGAATCAACCTTAAATCAGGAACTTAAATATGTTGCCGAATGGATGAATGTTTATAGATAAGCACTCAGTGTCTCTAAAACTAATTTCTTCCTTTTTCATTCTAGTGAGCTTAAGCCTAATCAGTTATTTTCTGTTAAAATTGATGAAGCAACTATTAAACAAGTTGCCTCTGCTAAGTACCTTGGCATAACATTTGATTCCAACTTAACATGGAAAAAACACATTAATGAGCTTTGCTTGAGATTATCCAAAACTGTAGGTCTTTTGTCTAAAGTGAGACATTTTGTCGATAGTGATATTCTTGTTATGCGATATTACTCTCTTATTTATCGTTTCCTCACATATGGTGTCTATGATTGGGGTTTAACATTCCCCTCGTTTTTAACACCATTATTTATTATTCAGAAAAAAGTAATCAGGATAATATCTTTCTCTGAACCTAGATCCCATTCAGAGCCTCTACTTAAATTGCTCAACTTACTTAACCCTAAATGATATCATTAACTTACAGGTACTCTCCTTTGTTTATCAGTGGTCAGGTAGACTGTTCCCCCTGTGTTTTAGTGACTATTTTAAATTCACATCAACTGGTCATTCCTATTCAACACGCCAATCATGTTATTGAAATCTTTACGTAACCTCAGTTAACACTACCCAATATGGCTTGCGCTTCCTAAAACTCACTGGTTCTCTACTTCGGAATTCCTTGCTTCCTAGTATTGCTAGATCAGCTTCTCTTAGACTGTTCCGTAAAGTTCTGAAGAATTCAGAGCTTAATTGCTATATTTATTAATTGTCTGCCTTAGCTCCAGAAGAAAGACTTTTTATAAAAATAATATATTCTAAATTTTGTGTGTAATTGTATTATTTTGCGGTCGTCCACTAGATTAGCCTTTGCTATTTGCATGATCCCAACGCGCTCTCTTCTCGATGTTACTATTTTTAGAACACGAACCCTTTCTGAACTATGAAAATCAAAGCTGACATGCACATGTGCTCGTTCTTTCCGTGCAAAAAATGCGCGCGCGTGACACACGAGATAACGCAATTTGAGCTAAAAATAGCACCTTGCCTATTTCGATGGAACCAACCCCATTTAAGGCAGAAAAAAGTATCCAGTTACGGTCTGCTTCTCCAATTATGGCTCCTGGTAAAACTTAAATTGGTACAATTTCGCTACAAGGAGTCTTCTCTGACATCTACCACCTGACTACAGAACGACGGGCTGTGTGGTTGACTTACATGCTTTGATTTCTCTAGGCTTAATCTTTTTTTGTTGAATCTAAATGTTCTAAATCCACAAGTGTGTCTTCCTTAATTAACAAACGTAACTGGTCATCATCGCAAGAACGGAGAACATGAAATTGATATTTTACTTTTTTCTAAGATCCAGTATAATTTAGTCCCTTTGCCCTTTCCTGGTGAGTTATCTCTTAACATCTCCTGTATCTGGACGTACCATAGTATGACATTTATTTTTTTACCCGCTTTTGTTGATGCCTACAAGTACTCTTTTTTTGGCCGATGTATTCCTGTGTGAAACTTTCTGCCATCTACTGCTGTTACGTACGGCTCCGTCTTTGCCCGTGTTTAAGTCCACAGTCAAAACCTATCTGTCGTCATCTACTGCCTAGCTAGCTGACCACCCATTGCCACGATTAGCTAGGTTATTTGGCAATTAGTTGATTAAAGATAAAGATAAAGATTTGTACTATTTACTTATATACACGCTGTATCAACGGCATCTACTTTAGCCTACGGCCATGCACCAGGCTCTCGTGTTGGGTTTCGCGCGAGATTCAGTAGGTGGGCGTTCGCTTGAGGATTTGCTGGCTCAAAAAGAGACCATGCTAGCAGGCTACGTTCGCTGACTCAACGTCCTTGATGCTTGATTACGGGTCCGTGTATTTCTCATTTAATTTGGTTTTGTTTTTGTCTTCCATATTTATCCTCAGGTATGTCATCTAAAGTTCTAAGGGTTTCTCATGATGATGACGAAAATCAAGAGACTTACATCTACTCAGGACAAATAATTGTGGCTCCTCGTAAAGGTAAAGGTAACAAAGCTGTTTTTTGAAGAATCTTTTCTGAGTTAAAGGTTATTGGCTATCAAGGGTTAGTTTTAGTGGCCCTGACCGAATAAAGAACCTTTAAAGGTCTACTGTAACGTGCAAAAATGAAGGGTTGACAGTGACGTATGAAATGCTGATTAAGAATATTATATAACCTGCGTTTGCCCGGCATTGAATAACCAAAAGTTTGATAAAAAGCCAAAAACCTTATCGGTCAGCTTTCGAATGTCACAGCAATTAAGTAGGTATAGTTTAAAGCGTCTATATAATTCTTAACTGACTGAAACTTTGAATGATATGTATTTGTAATGTGTCTGGCCTGTTCCAGGCTCCGAGGCTAAGAGTTGCGTTCGCGAAATTGAGAAAGTACAACCCCTTCTCCCAAATCACGCGCTCGTATTTTCTAGTGCGTTTCAAGTTTGCGCATCTCCACTATTTAAAAGCTTGGAACAGGCTATAATTTGTCTCACTTCTTAGTTTTTATCCTTTGCAGACCGTCAGCCCACTTCATGGAATTTTTCAGGGACACCCGTCCAATTTACTGTGAGTGACCTGTGCGCTGTTTTCCATCGCAAACCCTTAATACATATTAAATCATTCTTGAGATAATTTAGCTTTTGAATTTTGGAGGTGCAAATCGTGTAGGCCAAGAGCGAGTGAGATGACTTTTCAAAAGGCAATTTCCTTATACACTCTCAATACAGGGATGCTATTTGAGCATTTCCTAAAGTGTCATGAATTCGAAGGGTTTTGTATTTCTCGCAATTATACTACTACTTGAGAAATTTCTGCAATTTTATTGGCTTAGAGCAGTGGTTCTTCAGCGTAATTTGAAAAAGTAAATTCTACTTGTGAGAATTACAAACTTTCTGCGGGTAGTAGTATAAACAAATAATAGCATAATTTGTACGTGATATTTAGCATAAATATCACTCGTGATGTTTCAAAATTGTCTCAAATTTCACTCGCCTAACGGCTCGTGAAATTATGTATAACAATTTCGAAATTTACTCGTAGTACTTATGCCCAATATTACTACAAATCATGCTATTACCTATACTAATAAACTGTTGAACATTAGCCAGGGTGCGAAAGTGGTATGGGCTGGAGGTCATCTACGCTTATGTCCTTGTGTTGGCCTAGGTGGTCGTAAATGAGTTGGCAATCGAAAAAGTACAAAGAAGAGCATCGAGAAACGCTCTCGGTCAAAAACCACGCGAGAAGTCATATGAATAACGATGTATATTGCTAAACTGGAACACACTTCAGCATCGAAGAGAATACCTGTCTGTAGTGGAATGCTACAAGATAATGTTTGGCGGTCTAAATGGCATAGACGTTAATGACTATTTCGAGTATTGTAGAAGTACAAACACTAGAGCGAACAGTCCATACAAAATACAAACGAAATAAGCTAAAGTTGACTCCTTTAAGTACTCCCTCTTTGTGAGAATCGTCAAAGACTGGAACAATTTGCCAAACCATCTCTTCAGTGATGAAATTAACGTTAACAAATTTAAAAAAGGATTTAAAAAGTGGATGAGAGTTTATTGACACAGTAGCTAATATTTTAATAGTATATATTTTCACTTTAAATATCATCCAGTTTCTCACTATACCAGTTTGTACCAGCACTAATGATTTTTACGCGCGTTTTTTTATATTTTTTTAAAAATAGTTTTTAAAGTTCAGTTAGGGAACCATTTATAGGGAGAACCTCGCGGTCCAGCTTTTCAAATATGTATCATGTATCATGTTAGTGAATATGTATTTGAATAAAGTATTATTATTATTATTATTATTATTAAATGGGACTGATATAAGTAAGTGACAAAAAGTACTAACAACTTCTATATTCCTTTTCTTATAAATAAGATTGAAAGTTATCAAGACTTAATGTTCTCGCCTTTCACCCACTCAAGAATTAAGATTGACGACGATCTTGTTACTACTTCAGCAGAGGCTTTGACCTTGTAACAGTATCCAATCTCGTATGATTACTATGTAACGTAACGATTTCTCTACTTCACGCATGTTGATTACGTAACGTGCAATATATCACGCGCGGCATTTTTCCCGACCACGTGCTTCTGTAGTAATGGCTGAATAAACTACTTGAGTTGAACTACGAGTCTATTTACATGGTGTCAGAGGTGGGATCTTCGACTCATAGTTCAGAAAACCTATCAAGACTCAAGACAAAACTCAAAAGCAGAATTCAGGAACGAAATGAGCGATCTAATTGTTTTCGAATCACCAAAAATCGGCTGGACTCCGGGACCAGATTTACCTCAGAGGTTCAAGCGTTTCCGACAGAAATGATAACTTCTATTTAATGGACCACTCAAGGCACGAACCAACGAGCAAAGATGTCGATATGCCCTTCTGTTCTGTGGACCGGCGACTACGGTCTAGACTTGTTTAACACGTGGAACTTGGGCAGTGAAGAACAAAACAAACTCGACGAATACTGGACGCGATTCGAAGAGCATGTGAAGCCCCAGTCCAACCACATATTTAACCAAACGCTTCTATCTCCGAAACCTGAGGCAAAACGGACGACCCCTCGATGATTTCCTGACAGAGGCCAAGCTATTGATTCAAAACAGTGGCTATTTGTCCGAGCTCCACGACGAATTACTGAAAGACGTTCTCGTGTTTGGCGTTGATTCTGACATCGTGCGGAAGAAATGTATCGCCGAAGGAAACCGCATTGACGAAGCAACCAGGCTACAGCTCCAAGCAATGACAATCGAGGCAGATACAACACAAGTCAACTCACTACAAAGAGCCAAAGGTAACGCAAAAACCAAACAGAGAGGCCAGAGAGACAAAGAAAACAAAGAAACGACCAGCAACTATGCCACCGATGCGGCAATGAATCCCATACAGGCGGTGTTGAATGCCACTATTGCCACAAACGCGGTCATTTCAGCAAAGTTTGCCCGAAAAGAAACCCGGTACACGAAGTACAGAACCATACAGCCAGTAAACAAGAAAATAACTCTGACTTGACCTATGATTATATGTTCCTGGGATCACTTGAGGTAGATAGCGTAAACAACACCAACCGCAACAAAGTCTTCACAACAGTCGAGATTACTGCTAAGCCCTACCACAAGAAAACTACCTCGATAGTATGCAAAATAGACATAGGCGCAGAGACTAATGTAATACCTAAGACTGAGTTTGACAAGATCATTGCCTCTCCTAGTGACAAAGCACTTAGACTACCCCAGATCCTCACAGCTTATGGTGGCCAAAAGATTGAATGCATAGGTACCTGTCAGCTATTTATCCATCATAAAGACGGGATAAAAGAAGTAACCTTCACAGTAACCAATGTACAAGGACCCGCCATGCTAGGATGTAAGACATGTGAGGAACTCGAATTTGTCACCATAAACTGCAGCATAGAGAACACCCCACTGCTAACCAAGGAAACCCTCCTGAGCAGCTACCTAGACCGCTTCGAAAGACTAGGAACATTTAAGGACATGAAACCTTACCCGCTTGACCCGGCAGCAGAACCAGTCATACACCCACCGCGGTCAGTTCCAGTGCATCTTAAAGACCTTAAGAAAGGAGCTAGATGACATGCTGAATCTCGTTGTCATCGCACCTGTTGACAGGCCCACCGACTGGGTCAACAGATTCGTGTTGAGCGAGACAAAAAAACGACAAAACGGTCCTAAGTATCAATCAGAGAAATTCCGCGACTTCATGCAGACCTATGGAGTAGAACATGTTACCAGCTCCGCGACGTACCCCCAGTCTAATGGCTCTGCAGAACGCATGGTTCAGACAGTAGAGAATATCCTCAAGAAATGTGACGAAGAAGGAGAAGATCCCTATCTTGGACTACTATCCTACCGTTCGACACCTGTCAGCAGCGACTTGAACTCTCCAGCAGAACTGCTGAACCACCGCAAGTTCAGGACCACTGTATCAATGTCCAAGCGTGTGAGTGTCACCGACACTACCAGTAAGACAAAGGAAGAGCTGTACCAGCGAAAAAAGCTACAATCATTCTACTACAATAAGACTGCTGGACCGACACTACAACCATTTCAACCAGGTCAGCCAATCAACATCTATGACCACCACACCAAAAGATGGGAACGAGGAACAGTTATCAGACCTGCGAAGGAACCAAGATCCTTCATCGTTAAGAACGACCGAACGGAAGGTGTCTACCGTCGCACTCGATCACAGTTGAAACCCAGACCCAAGGTAAACGACAACAGCATCAAAGAACCACCACCAACTACTCCTGAGACAGCAGCATCGCAAGATAGCTCAGCTACCCGCACCCGTAACGTGTAATATATCACGTGCGGTATTTTTCCCGACCACATGCTTTTGTAGTAATGGCTGAATAAAGTACTTGAGTTGAACTACGAGTCTATTTACAGACCCCATACCCCAGGGGCACAAAAACTCCACTGTCTTTCTACCGACCTGAAATCTTTTCTCCACTTTTTCCTTCTCTTGTCCACCATTCGAATATTCCCAGGTACAGTCTTGTCGATTGTATGATGTTGCTATAAATTTCTATGGTGTTCAATGCATTCAGTATGAGTAACTATTATTCTTGAAACAAACCCGTGTAAATACCTCAGGTGCCTGAATATGTTCAATTTGTTTTAAAGGCCACAGAAAAGCTGTTGGCAGAAGATCTGGGACGTAAAGAACGATTTCAAACTATAAGTCTTATGGGTATATATTCTCTCAAGAGCATTGAGGTATGTGATTTCTATTTAGTACCTACTTCTAGTTGGTAATTTACGGTGCACATGAGTACGGGTTGGCCGTATATAGCATGCGTCACAGACGTAATCTAAACCCGGTTGTTAAGGTCTGCAAAGCAGCACCGAGATCCTTGTTCAGGGCCACAATTGGCCTAGTCCCTAGGCCACATTATTCCGCGAGGCCAAAGCGTTTCGGGTCACTTGGTCCAAGTAAAAATTGATCTAAATCCCTGTGTATATTCTATAGGGATTATTTAACCTTCGTGTAAAGAGCTATAGATTAGTCTCATGAAGAAATTCTAGGGAAATCGAAAAAAGGTCAAGTTATTGGGAATAAAGAAAAAAGCAAATGGATGGGGAAGGAATGCAATTATCATGAACGTTTCACTTCAAGGGCAGCCAAAGATATTTTGAAAAAAGAATAAAGCAACAAAGCTTGATTAATGCATCGAGATGGACAATGAATTTGAACTAGAGTGACAAAAAAATAAAGAAAAAGAATAGTCACGGTTGTTTTGAAATAAATTCAATGTTTCGGAGTTCAGTACAGTGTTGCTGTTTTCGCCTTGTCACGCGCTTAAAACATGGTTTGAGTTATCGAGGGTAGAATTTTATAGAATTGATCTGAAGGGAAACAAAAATTACTTCAAGCTAGCGGGAGGTTCGAGTTATCGAGGGTAAAATTACAGTAAATTTATAAAGCAAATTCAGGGAAATCGGCTTTGGTTCGAGTTAGCGCGAGGTTCGAGTTAGCAAGGGTTTGAGTTATCGGGAGTCAAGTTTTCCCATACGCCGTGGTAAAAAGTATGACAGCACGGGCACTCTTTTCAAACCTCTTAGTTTACTTCTCCTCAATGATATTATTAGCCCCCCACGAAGGCGTTTTTAGGTGTGTAATTGTATTTTTTGGGGTCATCCACTAAATTAGCCTTTGCTATTTGGATGATCTGAACTCGCTCGGCTAGAGACTATAATTTTTATTCTTTACTTATGTAAATGTATTTATTGCCCCTCTCTTTTTTTAATCTGTGTTAGATGTAGACGGAGCTAAGTGAAATAAATCATCTTGTCTTGTCTTGTCTGACTTGTATATATAATTATGGGGCATTGTTCTTCTTTTGTTATTAAAAAGCAGAAAGCCACTAGGGGCCTTCTTAACCCTAGCAGAAGGGAATGAAGCTTTTCGTAATATTAAAGTATTTTGTAATGACGTGATCAGGACAACTGATGAATGAAGCTGAATGATCCATGGAGGTGGGGGAGTATGACCGAAACCGAAGGTCATCTGAGGTCGTTCTCCGAGATGTGCATGATTCTTCATATCACACAAAAGTGGTCAAAAGTCGAATTGTTTTGTATTTTTTTAGCTGCACGTTTTCCATTTTGAGAAATTGTCAACTTGAATCTGACTTTTGCGGTTTGCTGTAAACATCACTTTAAATCTCTCAATTATTCCATGATCTTCCATCAGTTACGCATTAATCGTTGAGTCAGTGGTGGAAGGATAGGAAGGCCCTTCCAAATTTGGACTGCGCCAGCTGGTTATGACGAATTAGCCGGTACAATAATAATCCAGTCAGAGGCGAAGAAATATTGTGAATAAATCTTAATGGTCGTTACTCTCCTCTCTTTCCTCTGTAGGAGTTGCGTTTTGAAGACTACAAGAATAAAGAACATCGGAGGGAGACTCCTTCGCGATCGTCCAGCCCCAATAGAGCACCGTCACCTTCTTATTCTCCTCAATCACCGATTTATTCGCCTACTAGCCCTTCATATTCTCCCACTAGCCCTTCATATTCTCCCACTAGCCCTTCATATGCTCCCACTAGCCCTTCATATGCTCCCACTAGCCCTTCATATGCTCCCACTAGCCCTTCATATAGACCCTCTAGCCCCTCATTCTTATATGAAACTGTAACAAGCGCATATGGTACCTGGTCATCATCTGGTATAGAATCAAGCTCTAAAACTCCCAAAGGTAACTGCTCATTATTTCAAAATCACTCTTTTATCTTTTTTTGCCTTTTAATATATCTCGTTTACAGAATCCTAGCAAAAAAAAAAAAAGAATTTCACAAAGTCATTAAGATCCATTCAGCGACATTTGTATTAGAGCATAATTTATTCAAATTGATTTGAAGCTGCAGCCTCGTATTTGCCTCACTGAATTTTCTTTCTTTATTCCTTCCTTTTTAGCGTTTGCATTCAAAAAGGCACCGGATAAATGTAATAGCCAACAAAAGTCTTCAAAATTGCGAAAGAAGAATGAAGAAAGTAACGGCTTGATAACAACTGGTACTGAGGTGCAGGTCAAGAGGAACCTTCACGACTACAAGGTGGTAACTAATTTTAAAAATTGATAAATGACTGCTTAGTTATTTAGCAATTATAGAACGAGTGGGATGTGAAGAATACTGCCCATCTCGGAGGGTGTTATCAGGCCTCGGTGGATAACACAGGGTCCGCGGAGCAGTTTTTAAAGTGCGGGGGCCGGTGACCACCTCTTTTGAAGTGAGGGGGGAGGGGCAAATCTGGCTGTTCTCTCTTTGTGGCTGTTCAGATTACTGAGCCTTTCTTGACTCATTGTTAAGCGGAGTCATGCTTGTAAATTTCAAGCCTCTAAAAAGTAACTTTCTGCTGAGCCTGATTGCACATGCTGGATTCACCACTAGAGGTTTGCAGATCATGATGTTACACTGTAGGTTCCTGAAACCGCTTCATTTTGTCTAGTATGTCACCGAAATGGGTCAGAGACCGCATCATCAGCCGATATAATTCGCTTTAAAAAACAGTAGTTCGTTGGTAAGTCTTCAGCTTTAATCGACAACCGTCATAAAAAAAACTCTATTCCGCATCGTTGCAAATGCTACATAGCCTTGCTGGTTTGAAAACGCAGAAGTCTAGGACTAAGTGCAGTTTTGTAAAGATAGGCGTTTTGAGACTTACCACGCATAAGACTGATGGGATCGAAACGAAACAATAATAAATTTAGACGCTGGAAGATTCTTATTCCAACAAAGATACTACTTACATGAAAATTTATATTACAGTGGAACCTCTATAACGAAGTCCTCGGTCTAACGAACTACTTTTTTTTACTCCAGTAATAGTAAAATATAAGGCAATATGAAAAAGAACCTCGATATAAGTTAACGAACCTCGTTATAACGAACATATCTTGCCATTCCCTTGGCCTGTCGAAATCGAGGTTGCACTGTACTTAATTTTATTTAGATATTTTCAAAAACTGGGGGGGGGCCGTGCCCCCAGCTCCTCCACCCGCGCGGGCCCTGTAACACACTCCGAGATTGGCAGAATTCTTCATAGGCCATCCCCTTTTTTCTTTCGTTAAGCGTCGAATTCGTTTCCTGATATTGGGTCAGTCAGTCGGTCGGATTGAAAAAAACCTAAAGAATAGGAGGCCCTGGTACCCCAGGATGACGTTAAAAAGTTAACATTCACATATTTGGATTAACAAAAGGCACAATATACTGTAAGAAATGTTCCTGTTTTTCTCTATGCTGTTACTATGCTCATTTTTTCAGTTTAAAAGAATTATTTCAAGTGAAAAATGGTTTAACTACGTCGTTAAAAATGTCAAAAATTTGGGTCGGTCGGATGACCCTACACGGAGAAAAAAAGGAGGATGGCCATATCCTACGAAAGCCGAATTCAATAATTGTCTTATTATTCCTTCAAAATAATTCCAAGTTTAAAAACAAGCTAAAACTTGCTTACATGTACCTCGGTCGATGTTAAGTTCATAATCGATAGTGCATCGTCTTTGGGAGATTTAGGAGCTGAAAGTTCTGTTCAGGTCTGCAGATATACCCCAAGTAGCATATGTCGTCCGTCGCGTTGTCTTCTTGCTGATTTTAGACGATATTTCGCCGGGAAACTAGTAAAATGTTTCGGCGACTGTTCAGCCATTTTGTTTTAACTATTAAAACAACTCGTTCAGTAAGCGCTTGTATCCATATCTCTAACCGCCCTCTCCCTCTCACTTACACTTACATGAAATTTCAAAGTTTCCTTACTCAGAGACTTAGTTTCTGCCCAACAAATGTTGTCAAAGTGCAAGTCTTAGCTCGAGATATCTCGAGATCACTTCGATTTCTTTGTTTTATTCTTTAACTAATTCGAGGAAAGAATTATTATTTTGACTTTCCCGGAGTTTGAACCGACTCACCTGTGTGACCCGTCAGATCAGAGGAGACTCTAAGTTGAGGGTTTAAACGATTGCGCTACTGCGACCCAAGGTAGTTCTGGATATAAAAAATAGCTATGAAATTATGCACTATTTTCGGGACAAGATTGGGAGCGCAAGTTCGTGACTTTTTGCCTTGTTTCCGCCGTTTCACGAAATGAGACCGGACTACTTCGTGATATCTTGAGATCACTTCGAGTTCACTCTTTAATTTACTCGAGGAATAAATAAGGGATACTACATGGCCGCGTAGAGACACGAAATTTCTCTTCCAGTGTTGAAAAACATTTCACGAGTGAGCGCTCCTTTCGAACTGTTTTATGAATTTAAAGTTACAAATGCTGCACAAAGACGTTTTGTCTTTGTTGAGTGTTACGTAGTAAAATTTCTTTCATGCGTTGCGCGACTTTCTTGGACGTTCTCTACGTTTTTGGATTATTCATGAATAATTGATTAGGGCATGTTTACATTTCAGCATGAGTCAGCAGATTTGCATCAGTTACTGAAATCATAAAATATGTCGAAAAGCTGCTAGTATTCGCCTGTTTAGTATTTTCTTGAACCTTATGTCAAACGGTATACAAGTTCCAAGCGAGTTCTTTTGACGAACTAAGTTTTTTCCCACGAGTCTGGAGTGCTGTGTTTAGTCAAGTGTGACGAAGGTCGATTTTCAAGTTCTGTGTTTACAAGTTGGCGGAAGCCGTAAGATATCTGAAGTTCAAAAGAGAGTTTGTTATTATTGGCAGAGGCTGTTTAATCCGAGATCTTTGCGAGCTGATCGTCAGTGAATAATTATCCTCAAAACATTCGAACTCGTAACATTAAGTTTCAGCCAATTCCATGCTCAACGTAATTGACTCCTTATCAGTACATGAGACTGCTATGCTGTTTTTGAAGCCAGATGTAAGAAAAATAGAGAATTCTTTTTTACTGTTTGTTTTGGTAGACTTGTTATTCACCGCCAGTAACCTCATATTTGACTTAGGTCTAAACGTTTAGACCCAAGTCAAATTTAGAAGGATTTGTATGGAGTCATCAGAGCATAACTGGGCTAATATCTCAGAGACAATTTTCCCCGAAATGCTAGTTTTTGGCAAGTTAGTCTCTTGGATGTTGCTATTTTCAGAATATCCTGACAAATCCCTTAATTTCACAAATTACCACCTTACTCTCACCATATCTCTTTTTAAAATATTCCTCCGCATTTACAATTAATCAGTTCCACAACCACGACGCCGAAGAGTGCGCTCCATAGCGTCTTGTTATATATGGTACCAAAGTGGAAATGTGGTGAGTTGCATTGCCCAATCAAATAACCCGTCGTAAATTGGTTTGAGACAAATTAAAGTTGACGCGACCAGTGATTTATTTGCAGTTCTGTGAATGAATTTGTGGCAAGCTTTCAAACTTGTGTTTGTCTACGATGACATGGATACCTCTAACGGGGAGTGGGGGATAGAAAATAGATGGGTAGGTTTTAGCTATTACTCATCCTTTTTCGGGGCTTATTTTTACTAAAAGTCTATAGGTCTGCCTGAGATGAGGCCTGCGTTAACTTTAAATTACTGAATAAAACAGTACGTGATGCTGAGATCATTCACTGAAGTTACCTCCAAGACTTCTCATATTGTAATGAAAGGCGAAAAAGGGCATTTGATCTTTTTATTTCGAGCTTCATTTCGAGTTCAATATTCCATTTCCTATTCCCCGTTAATCGTCCAATTTGATACCTTATGCTTACATGATTTCCCTCATGGTGCCTTAAAACGTATTTAAATTTATGACCGCTCTGTGTATCTCTGTAAAAGAATCCAGTCGAGCGGAGATGTCGTGAACACTACACTCCTGCAATGGGGCCAGTTGCAATTCTAATATGGCACTCGTCCAATAACGTCTGATATTAACCCAATAAAATTCTTTATTTAACGCCCTATTAGCTACGTTTCTAGTTACATATTATGCAATTGCCCCATTTTAAGTTGCAAATGCCTGTGTTTTGCTGAGAAGCCTTTGCAATAGGGTTTGGTTAGTTTTCTCGCATAGTAGGCACGCAGAAAAATAACAAAAACCTGCCAAGAAGCGAATCCACGTTGCAGCAGATACAGTAAATCATAAACACAGGAAACAAAGCTCGTCGAGCGTTCGAAATTGAAATTAACTGTGCCTCGCAAGAGAAAAAGCTTCGCTCATAAAAGAACCATTTTCAGGCTTTCCCTGTTTTCGTTGTCAAAGTTAATTTGCGTCGCACGTATTGGACTGCTCGCGCAGCTACCATCATGCAAGATTCCAGATTCCTCCCACTAATTACTTCGGCGGAGCGCGAAGTAAAGGATTCGCACTGCTCAGGAATGTTTCAAAGCTGCATTCGCATGTGCCGAAGTTGCTTCGGAATAAGTTCGAGATATCTTGAAGTTCTTTGATTTATTCTTATTCTTATTTATCATTCTGGCTAGAAATATTGACTGCAAAAGTATTTTACAGAAAACATTAAAGCAATTTGGGCTAGTAGCTTCAGTCGAGATACAAGAGCAATTTTCAGTGCATCCCACTTCGCAGACGAGTTTGCTTATGTCGTGCGATATGTTTCTCCAAAGAGCTTTTTGTCCGGTCGCCCCTGAAATCTAGCTTGGAATTTGTTTTACACCATGAAAAACCCAAATTTATTACTTTGCCGGTTAAATTCCCCGCCGATAGATCAAAGTTTATAAATTTTCACGCGAACTGTACTGCCTTTTTTGTGTTTTTTTTTTTTAAAATCCAACGGCCGAAATAATGCTAAATATACTTTTCAATACACTTTTAAAAATAACACCACACAATACGCAAAGAAGAAGAAGAAGAAGAAAAGAAAGAACAAGTTGCGACCTTCAAGACGATATTCGCGGTGGGTTTCCCATCCAGTTCCTAACCCCGCCCGACATGGCTTAACTTGAGTGATGTTACTAAAAAAAACAGTTTTGGGCCAAAATGCCCCGAGCCAAGAACCTGCAGTGGCATTAGAACAGCTGTAGTAGCTATAGTTACTGTAGCAAGTTAGTAGCTGTAGTAGTTTTAGTAGCTATCTTACACCAAGTACTATCCGAGTTTCGGGAGGGTTATTGCGAGATACGTATT